GTTAGGCTCGAAGGAAACTAAATATAAGCAAAAGATGTTATTGGCAATGGAGCTATGGATGGGAATTGGTTGCTGGGATGATTCGACAAAGGTTGCTTCTTCAGGATTTTCTATGTTACTCACTTGCACCTGTTAACACATGTTCTTCGCTATGTTAAGGACACCCGAAAAGAGAAAACAAGCCCTAAGGAACATTGAAAGCTGATAATACCTTCTCTGGAGAATGAGAGTCGCCGTCAAGCGATTGAACGTAAGCTCCTTTTCCCGCTGTAGCAAAGAAAAGGCAGCCAGTTTTATCTGAAGAAGATTTGTTATTCGCAAGATTCGGGCAAGCCATGACACCGAGCACAAGTTTTCCTTCCACAAGCAAGGACAATGCCACTGCGTAATGCTCTCCTTTTACAAACCTGTAAAGCACAAGTTGCATGTTAGAGCAAAAAAAAAAGAGAAGACTTTTCTGTAGTGAGATTCAATTCTTCTCACCCTTTAGTACCATCGATTGATCAAGAATCCAGTGGCGACCATCAGAACCACCTTGTGACCTCCCGTGGTCTATCGCCTTCCGCACATCTTCCATCGAGAGAGAAGAAGCGCCTTAAGACTCATCAGAAGCTAGAACATCGTTCACAAGCTTAGTGATGCTTTCCAGAAATGCCTGGGATCCATTCTTTTGCAGATCTTCTGCTTTCTGCAAAAAATAAATAACAGAGAATGATTTAGACTTTGGTTTTGGTGTGATCTGATTGATCAGAAGAGACTCTTTCGAAGTTTTGGTTACCTCTTCAGCAATTACGTATAGTGGTTCAGGGTCAAGTTCTCTCTGCAATACAAGACTGATCACAGCTTGGGATCCTGCATTTATCATTAGGTTTGATTTGACCGGGTTTGCGATATTTATAAAACAGAACTGTGGAAATTGGTTAAACCATAGTCAGCAGCTGTGACCGGACTCTTATCAGATTTTTTCCGGACATCTGATTGCAACAGAGACTTCTGCACTTTCTGATCATCCCAGTTCCCCACAATCAAAACAATCATGTCACTAATTAAGCTTTGTCCATTACTAATCAATAATATGCAATAGAAATATAGATTAATGAGTTGGTTCACTTACTTGGCTGAGACGAACTGCAAGAGAGACAGCTTTCTTAGCAGCAGCAAGCTCCTTCTCATAAGACATGATTAAACGAAGAACAACTTCGAAGAAGAGCTTCAAGTCATGAGCATAATATATATGTGAATTATTTATCTGACTTAGTGTTTGGTCATTGTTAATATATATTTTTTTTTGATCAAACGGTCATTGTTAATATATATAACCACGTTTCGTGGAAGTTTCATAACTCGTAAGAAGACACTTGTTATA